AAGGGCCTCTGGATTTCGCCCTGCAGGGCTCTCAAGCCAGGTCTTCAGTTAGCACCATGGATAGCTCCCAAGAAAGTGGGAGGAAGGGGCTCCGGGACCTGAAACTGGGAGCATTATGGTGGACTCATGGTGGAACTACCAGATGACTCAGAGAAGGGGAGGGGCATTCTGACTGTCCCCCTATAAGAGCCAGCATCTATCAAGGCAGTCTAAGCCCCAAGACCAGAGGCTCCACTCATTCCATGGAAACTGCTTCATCTGTGTCTCTGTGGACATGTTCATCTGAGCCGGGTGGGGCTGAGTGAGACCTGCAGGCTCAGAAGAGGTTTCTCTGCTCCTCCCCAAGCCAATGATGGACCGGAACAAGGCAGCCGAGCTCCCCAAATTACAGGTTGGCTTCATCGACTTTGTGTGCACATTTGTGTACAAGGTGAGCAGGCTGATGTGGGGCCTGGCTGGGTTCACAGGAGTGGTGGGACTGGTGTGGGTTCACACGATGGCCTGGCCGGCCATAGCCCCTGTTGCCTCATCCTTGCACTTAAAATCTGAAATCCTCAGTGTCATCCCAAGGAGTCCCTTCCCACCTTCCCCTCACCAGTTCCTCAGAAGCTCTTCATGCTTTCCCACAGGTCTCCACTCTCTGGGAGATCCTCCTCCCACCATGAGGTCTCACCTCACATGTCCCTTCCCCTGACCCCATCTAGCCACCCCCAATCATGGCCTGCAGCGTATCTGTGGGTGCATCTGTTCAGTGCCTATGAACCCAGGGGGGGGCAGCAATGGGTCCACCTGTCCCAGCTGGGAATGCCTCACCCAGCAAACACATGTTGCACTTGAGTGACCAGGGAACACTGTGCCAAGGACATGTGCTGTGACATCACAGCCCAGAGGACTGGTCAGGGAGTGTGTTGGGGGGTCTGACTGCAGAGCCCCTCCCAAGTGATGCCCGACACATCCATGGGCTCCATTCCATCTGATCCTGGGGGCTGTGAGGAGGAGGTTGTCTGCTTCTGAGTGAAGTCAGCCCTGATTGGGCCAGTCCACTCCCTACCTCAACCATCACAGCACCTGGGCTTCCCCTTACTGAAAGCTCAGCTCCCTTTGGTGCCCCCTCAGCAGGACTCTAAGTGCTGCAAAGGAAGGCAGAATCAGGATGAACATCCCAGTCCTGAAGGTCACAGGTCACAGCCCTACCACAGCACCCCCCTCCCACTGCCTTCCCCCAAGTCCATCCACATGCTCCATGCTCGTGTGTGTGTTTGTGTGTGTGTGTGTGTGTGTGTATGATGTGCGTAGAAGAGCCCGGAGAAGGGGCTGCAAGACCAACCTGTCTGCCCAAGTCTTCCCACCCTCTCTGCCAAAGGACTCACCTTCTGCCATTGATATTCTCTATTCCAGGGGTCCTCTCCCCACTAAGACCACCTGTGCCTTCCCATCCTCTCTTCTCCGTTTCCAGGGCTTTGCTGGGAAAGTGACATCTCAATGGCCTTCCCTTTTCCCTCAGACATGTCCCCTCCCAAGTTCTCCTCTTGGGTGAGCAGGGCAGGGTGGTGGGGGACAGGCTGGTGCCAGCAAGGGCCAAGACATGGGGAGGCCACCTGCCCCAGATGCTTAGGAACACTCAGGAGGTGTGACCCAACTTCTTGATTCCCTGTCTTCCTGTCCAGGAGTTTTCCCGTTTCCATGAAGAGATCCTGCCCATGTTCGACCGACTGCAGAACAACAGGAAGGAGTGGAAGGCCCTGGCTGACGAGTATGAGGCCAAAGTCAAGGCTCTGGAAGAGCAGAAGCAGCAACAGGAGGAAAAGACAACAGCTAAGAAAGGTCTGGGCTGCAGGGCGGGTGTTTGGTTAGTCCCCACATGGAAGTGTGTGAAGGGACGAGGTTAAACAAGAAGGGCAGGTGGCAGATGGCGCTGGGGCTGGTGTGCTCAGGCTCCTCCCTGCAGAGGCAGCCATCCCTCTGGATTGGGCCTGACTGCAGGATCTCCTTGTTCCTTGCCAGGGACTCTCATTTTCTCTAATAAAGAAGTAACTATTTGAATGTTACTTCCTTTATAAAGGGAGGAAAGCCCAGGTGAAACATTGGGAACTCTCAACAGCTATTTCTTCCACCACCAGGCAGCAGTTCCCTCCTAATTAACTTAGGAAAATCTACCTCCACTTCCATCTACCCTCAGAAACGAAACAGAAGACCTAAGGGCGCACATCTGACTCCAGCTCAGGTCATGATCTCGGGGTCCTGGCTGGAGCCTCCCAGTGGGCTCCGCGCTCAGCAGGGAGCCTGTTTGTTCCTCTGCCCCTCCCTCTGCTTGTGCTGAAAGCACACGCGCATACTCTCAATGAATAAAATCTTAAAAAAAAAAAAAAAAAAGACCTAAAAAAAGAAAATACGGGAGCTAAGAGTCAAGCATACATGACATCTCCCCCTGTACTGCGTCAGAGCCTTTCTTTCCCTACTCAACCCCACCCCTGCCTGCTGTTTTGGTAATATGGCTCACGTGGCTTCATGGTAAGGAGTCACCATGGGGCCTAGACAGAATCCCTGACGTTGTTGCCTTGGTATTTGCCTGTGCGTGGCCACTGTGGCCCTGGGACTTTTGCTATTTCCTGCCGTGGGGAGGAAACCTATGTCAAGTTGTGGGGGCTGTGGGGGCGCCAGAACTAAAAGTGTCACGAGAGCTGAGATAAGAAAGGCTGAGTCCTGGCTAGGCTAATCGGCTCAGGCTTCCCACAGGTCCCACAATCTGCCCTCCCTCTCTCGGGGCTGGCAGAGGACACAGGGCAGGAGAGGCGGGGCCGGCAGACACAGTCCTCTCACCCTTGTTCTCTCTTGCAGCAGGCACAGAGATTTGCAATGGCGGCCCAGCACCCAAGTCTTCGACCTGCTGCATCCTGTGAGCTGGTCCATGGGTTCTGATAGCGCCCCAATCCGTTTACCCGCTGGGACCCCACCTCCAACCATTTGCTACAGGAGGTTAGGGAGCCCAAGAAAATGACAAGACAATTTTGGATATTTTGATTTTTTTTTAAGATTTATGTTTTTGTATTGGGGCACCTGGGTGACTCAGTGGATTAAGCCTCTGCCTTCGGCTCAGGTCATGATCTCAGGGTCATGGGATCGAGCCCCACATCAGGCTCTCTGCTCAGCAGATAGCCTGCTTTCCCCTCTCTCTGCCTGCCTCTCTCTGCCTCTTGTGACACCTCTCTCTCTGTTAAAAATCTTGAAGGGTCATGGGATCGAGCCCCACATCAGGCTCTCTGCTCAGCAGATAGCCTGCTTTCCCCTCTCTCTGCCTCTTGTGACACCTCTCTCTCTGTTAAATAAATAAAATCTTGAAGGGGCACCTGGGTGGCTCAGTGGGTTAAGGCTTCTGCCTTCGGCTCAGGTCATGGTCCCGGGGTCCTGGGATCGAGCCCCGCATCGGGCTCTTTCCTCAGCGGGGAGCCTGCTTCCTCCTCTCTCTCTGCCTGCCTCTCTGCCTACTTGTGATCTCTGTCTGTCAAATAAATAAATAAAATCTTCAAAAAAAAAAAAAAGGATTTTTTTTATAAAGTCAACTACAAATACACTTTAGCGTCCTTTACACTCATCTGTCTTTTGGGTACACAGCAATACCACAGAGAGACGTTTGGAAAGGGTCTGTGACCTACATATCTGAAAGCACTGGGTGAGGTCCACAGGCGCACATGTAATGTGTATATGGGTAGACGAGATACACAGATGTTGTTACCTATCTGGTTCTGGGGCAAATAGGGCCAGAAATTGATAATACAATAAAAACAAGTTGCCCTTTTCTTTAATGCAGGAGCTGTGGTGGAGGGCACATCATGTCTAACCTATGAGAAAGTTCTGCCACCAAGGTCAAGGCCATGAGTGACCTGAGCAAAAACACCTGGAACAGCCCTCTGCACTGAGGTCAAGGGGGCACCCTGCCACAGCTGGGGTCTGCCCAAGTCCTACACCAGTGAGGGTTCCCTTAGTGTTTGTGTACCAGCAGAGCCAGACCCAAACGCAAGACTCCCCTGTGAAATGGGTACTACTTACCTGGTAGAAGTTAAGGACTTTTCAGATCCTGACCACATGAGCTCCAAATCATTCATTCCCAACACTGGACACCTTACCCCACAGTAAACTCCTCTCAGCTGCCTGATTAAATGGGCTGTGGAAAAGCCAGTTCGGATGCCACGCAAGCCCACCCCCAGAGGCCCTGAGCTCCTGGGCGGGCGGGGGACACCAACACCCCCCACAGCCATGCAGTCACAGCAAGGACACAATTTCCATCTCAGCAAGGAGACCCGCTGACAGTCCATAATTAGGGCACCAACCAACAACTCCAGAAGGAACTGAGCTGGGCTCACTCAGCCTTCAACTTAACTAAAACCAAGGCTTTCAAGTGCTTATCCACTGCTTCTCATCTAGCCTCCCACCCCCTTTTGCAAAAGAATTCATTTTATCAACGAAATTTGTGCCTGGCCTATGGCTGGGAAGTGGCCCCACTACAACATGAGGAGTCAGAGAGGCAGAACATGGCCGTCAGTTCAGCAAGAGCCCAAGCCCACTGCAGAGCTTTATGCAGCACCCCAGCCTGGTCCTCAAAAGGTCACAGACCTTCCTTACGGTCTAGGGGAGGGTTCCCGACAAGGGGAGAGAGATCCAGGTCCCATCAGTAAGGGCATCAGGCCACCTCCCATCCCACATTTGTACTGTCCATCAAAGGGTCTGGGCCGGAGCTCACTGAAGACCAAGCAGCAGCCACAACACCCAAGCTGCCTGTGTCCGGGATAAACTGCTCCCTTTGGGGCTCCCCAGTCAGACACCTCAGAGAACAGGTGATGGGAATTTCTGTGTTCCCTGCCCGTTTGTGCACTGCACCCTGGGTTCAGAAGGTCCATTGTGAAACCCACTCCCTAGCCCACACCACCCCCAACATAAATGGAGAACAGAGCACAACTGCAGAGCTTGAATCCGGAAATCAGACAACTGACGACAGTACAGGAGAGCATCAGACAACACAGAAAGCTTTATTCATCCACACGGTTCCAGAGAAAGGCAGGCTCACTTTAGTATGCTGTCATCTTGGGCTGAAAGGTTCAAAGGAAAATATTCGTGTTATTACACACTCAGGCGACCCAAAAGGACCACTTGACATGTTCGGTGCTCAACAACCCAGGATCTGGCTACAGTGGAAGCCCAGCCATGTGCTGCCTCAACTCTTGGCCCTGCACGCTCTGACTGCAGCCTGCCATGGCAGTCGGTGGGGGACGATGCCTGGTTCTGGTTCTATGGGCCTCTGAGCGTGGCACATTCCCAAACAACTCTCCTCCAACGCCCAGAGACCTGGGCCTCGCCCAAGGCAAGGTGTCACTGTGTCCCCCCACATCCACAGCCCTGCTCCATCTCTCCCTCCCCCAGAGGACCTGCTGGCCAGTGCTGGGAGAAAGGAGGCAGCTCCTACCCCTATTGCGGGGCTCGCCTGAAGCAGCACCTGTATGTTTCTAAAGCCCGGGCAAAGGACCAAACTTTCAGATACACTCAGTCCAGTACCTTCTGCCAGTTCTCTCTCAATCCGTTTCCGTTCATCCTCCTTCTTTTTCTCCTCAGCGGCTATCCTCCTCTCCTCTTCTGCCCGAGGTTTCAGGTAACCTGTGCAAGGAAAGCGTGAATATGGGGAGGTACTTTCAGTGTCTTCACAGAAACACGTAAAAGGAATTTAGTGCCCCATGAATGCCTGACCCGTGTGCTTCCCACTCCTCTCTCTCCGCGTGGGTCAAGGCCTGACTAGAGCTCAGCAGAGTGCACAACCGGGAGGGCAACTGCAGGGGACGCGCCACCTGACCAGACCTTCTCTGCTCAGCAATCTGGGCCACCCGAGGCTACTCGCATCTGACCACAACACTCCTCCAGCACTCACCTGGCACCCCAGTTTTCAACAAGAACTAGCTGCTTTCCAGCTCCCCCGGGTGCCCAACATAAGAATGCACTTTGGGTCCTGACCACCTGCGCTAATCGCAAAGCGACCTACACATCTGCTGCGGCAGTGCTCCGCGGTCAAGCTCGCTCGGGTTCCTGGGGCTGGCGCCTCCCAACCCTGTCCCCCTTCTTGCCCTTCGCTGGGGTTTACGAGGCGGCTCTGGAGAGCCCCCCCCCACCCCCCAACTCCCCGGCTATGAGAAGCCCCAGGGTTTCCCCTGCAGTCCGCCGAGAAAGCGGCCCGGCCAGCCGCGGTCACTCACTGTAGCGCTTGGCTCCGTACGCCACGCCGAGGAACAGGGCGGAGTAACGGCCCAGCTGCGGAGAGAAGTTGGTCAAAGGCAGGCTGGGGCGCAGGGCGCGGGTCCCGGGGGCGCAGGTCCCGGGGCCGCGGGTCCCGGGGGTGGGGTTCCCAGCCCGCGGGGTCGGGGCGCAGGACGGAAGTCCCGGGAGCACGCGGACGGAGAATGCAGGGCGCAGGTCCCGGGGAGGGGGTTCCCAGCCCGCGGAGTCGGGGGCGCAGGGCGAGGGCCCCGGAACCGTGGGGACCGGGCGGGGGAGTGGTGGTGATGCTGGTTCCAAGCCCAAGGGATCGGGGCGCAGAGAGAGTCCCGGGAGCGCGAGTCCCGGGGGTGGGGTTCCCAGCTCGCGGGGACCCGCGGCGCGGGGAGTGGGGGTGGAGGGGTCGCACCCGCGGGGGCGCGGGTCCCGGGTTCCTTGGGGTCACGCACGTGGAGCCGAGCACCTGGCGACGGCCGCAAACCCTGATTCACCTTGATGAGTGGGGAGACTTTCACCGGCGGCACCATCTTGCCCGTAACCTTCACGCCGGAAGCACAATCCGCGGAGGACGCTGCTAGGCCGTGAAAGCTGCGGAGCCGTAAAAACGTACAAGGGCAAACGCATGCGCCGTCAGAGGTGAACAGGGCATGGACTGCGCCCCCCGGTGGACGGAGGTGGAACGCGCCTGGCCGCTAGGAGAAGGGATCAGGCGAGGCGCGCGGCTCGCGACCAGCTGCGCATGCGCGACTGCGGGAGCAGCAGGTGTAGGTTGGGCAGTGGGAGCGGCTTTTGCCAGGGATGTGGAACCTCGGCCTACCCTCATGTTCCCTGCAGCCCCTAATGTTGTCAGGCCAGGATGATACCAATGGAGCGCGCCCATTATAAGTCCATATATTTGAAAAATATCAGTCAGGCACACGAAGTGTAAAATAGATTGTTCTCTATTCTCCTGTAGTGTGTGGGCTCTCCAGTCAGGACCAGCGAGTCGGGGAAGGAGCCTCCATTCCCGCCCCGCGGCTGGAGTGCAGCCTTCAGCCACATCCAGGCCCATGACCACCCCAGGTCAGCCACAAGGACTGCCCAGGAAGAACCCATGGTCCGGTTAGAGGTTTTGGGCTGGGAATCCGGGGTCTGTGGACTGATGTGACCTGAGTGCAGGCCCCCTTGCCCCAGGCCTCTCCCCCGGTTGGGGTGGGGGGGCTGTTGTGGCCAACTCCTCTGGACTCAGGCCAGGCTAATCATGGTGGCTTCAGGACCCATTCCTGGGATGGCACTGCCGTTTAAGGTGTCCCTTACGGCTACCGCCACCCCCCGGTCCCAGTCCCCCAGCAGAGTAGAGCTTCCTCACTGCAGGAGTCTCTCCAGCACAGGGGGCTGGGGTCTTCCTGGGAAAGGCACCCTTGTAGAGCCTGCTCCCTGGCTCCAGCCCTGGGGACCCTGCCGTCCCCAGCTCCAAGGTCCACCTCAACCAGGGCTTCAGGGACCACTGAACCTCCAGATGGACCCTCCTTCTCTCACTTCTGCTGCTCACGGTGGACGGGGGTAGAAAGCCACACCTGTGAGTCACTGTGTCCCACTATGAGTTGCTGCTGGTCTCCCCCACTTCTGAGGTTAGCCCTGGCAAAGACATGACCAGGTCAGCCACAAGTGTGCAGTGGGGCTACCCAAAGATGGAGCAGTGGTGGTCAGACAGCTTCCCAGCTGTGCTGGCTATGCTGACACATGGTTCCCAAAGCAACCAGGTTTGTGTTGGGGGGAAGGGGGCAAGGGCCTGGCAAGAGAACCACTCATCCCCTGGGCCCTACGCCGCTCCAGAAAGAAGCTCCCTGAGAACCAGAGCTTAGGACTCACTAGGGCTCCTGGTATGCCAGAGGGGAGCCCACTTTTCCTCAGTCTTCCAAACCCTCTTGTCTCCAGAGAGAATTTAACTATAAATCTAAAGGGAATGGAATGCAGAGACAAAAAACTGCATGGTACGAAGCAGTTCAGTATATATGCCTGGAGGGGAGGCCCTTCCAGCCACCTCCAGGGTCCTGGGCCCTTTGCTCTGCAGCTCGCTCTGGAGTCCTGGCTCTAGGCCTCCCGCTGAGAAGCTGGAACACCACCTTCGTTGTTACCTAGGCTGAGGGTGGAAACAGGGAGGCCCATCTTGTAGGGCCACCAGGCTCTTGTCTGAGCTCTCTGAGGACCCCTGCCTGATATCATCCATGACTGCCTCTGCCAGGCCTGGGGTTGAGGGAAGTCCTTCCTAAACCCCTCATTGCTCCCTGAGGGCGCTGTAAGCACACATGGACCCCACAAGGCACAAAATCAACCTCTTCAACCAACATGGGTGTGGTGATGCTGAGTGCACACCCCCCACTCCCACCCACCCCCATTCTTGCCCTTGAGCATCTAGGCAGATGACCTCAGCTGATAAATATGTTCTTCCTTCCCTGGACATTAAAATAAACAAGACTCCTCAGCAACTCCTGCTTCCAGAATCAAAAATAAGTGTCTCTTGGGCTGAAGGTGAGGCCAGGGTGTTGGTAGGGGACCACCTAACAGTAGCTTCCAGTGGGACAGGGTGAGGGGATTGGTAGGGGGGGACACACAGGTATACATGCCCATATACACATGGGGAAGACCCCTGAAGCTGGGGGAGACTCATTTTGGCCCTGGGCCCTTCCTGAGGGCTAAGGGGGCTCCCATCTGGCTCGGACCACAGGAACCACTGGCTGACACCTCTGCACCTGTCAGGGCCAGCTGTCTACTCTGAATCCTGATATTCTCTCTGGAGCCAGGCTCCATGGCTATCTTTAGTGCTGCCAGCCCAGGAAACCTCCCCAGGGGCTCTGCCCGTGTCTTCTGGCCTTTCCCACATCAGGGGCCTTCTGAGCACAGATCCTGTATGCCTTCCCTTCTCAGTGTGGTGGTCCCAATCCTCCAGCCCTCCTAGGGTCTCTCCAAGCACCACCGTCAAACCCTGCCCAACTGGGAGTACAGCCCAGCCCAGGTTTCCCACGTTAGTCATGTGTTCTGCCTCTGGGAATCCTCCAGGCAGAACCCCAGGGAGCTCCCAGTTCCCTCCTGGTGGGTTATGCCTCTCTAAAATCCACAGGGTGTCTGTTGTCCCATACTCAGTGCAGGCAAATGGTGGGCTGCCCCTGGGATCACAGAGGTGTCATGTGACTGCAGGAGTATGCCCCCGGGGGCAGGACCCCTGCCACGGTGGCATTCACATGTGATGTGGTTCCCAAGTGTGCCCTAGGGGACCCCTGCTGCTGATGCCTTCCCCCCAAGGTGCAGGTACAAGGGGCTCTGAGGGCTTGTTCTCTGGGTGTGAAACTACAGTCCTGAGTGCCCACTTCATTCTGTCCCCAGGCCTTCTCCTAACTCTCACCCTTTCATGCCCCTAGCCTGTACTCCCTGCAGCCCAGGACTAGGGTACCCAGCCCCTGACCCTGTGTTGACTGCTAATATCTGCCCCTCACACACACAGGCACCTAGGCCAGCTCCCCTCCCCAGACTCTGCCTGCTGGGCCATAATGTAGTTGGGAAACCTGTCTGAATGCTGGCCCAGGGCCCAACCCATCTGGATGGTCCTCCATCCCAGACATGTTACCCCCACTCTGTGCCAGGAAAGGGGCCACCTGCCAAGGGGAGAGATGGGACCCCAGTGAAGCAGGGAGGCGAGGGCACACACAGCATGCTTAGAGAATGCCTGGTCACCAGACTCCAAGGCCACTCACAGTGACTTTGGGCAAATCTAGGAAAGGTCCCCCTTCCTCTGCCTCCTGCAGCCTCCTGGGACCCTCCAGGGTCCACATGCAGGTGGCCCTGGAGAGGCACAGAAAACAGGAGAACAAGGTTCTCAGTGAGGTGCCTGGGAAGCTGGGGCCCCTGCTGAGCAGGGCAAGATGGGGGCATCTGAGTCACCCGCCAGGTGCCAGAGCTCACTCTGCACTTGTCCAGTCCCCAGGGTGACCCCGGCCTGTCCTTGTAGGGAGTGGAAGCCAGAGTCCGAGCTGTCCTGGGGGACTGGGCAGGAGCTTAAGACAGGCGACCTGGGCAGGGAGGGCACAGATCATCGCATCAGGCACATCCAGGCATGGTGAGTGTGGACAGCAGGCCACTGGGGCAGGAGTGGGTGTGAGTATGCCTGCATTTGTACAGGGTGCACCTTTGCGATTGTGTGTACATGCGTTTTGCCTGAGTGTGATTTGTGGGAGTGTGTGTGTGTGCACACGAGTTGAGTTTGTTTCTGTGTGTGAGGGTGTTAGGTGGGGAAGATCTGTGCCCCATGGCTGCCTCAGGGACATCTGCGGTTGGAAGATGAGGGTCCTGGTCTTCACACTGGAAGGGTTCCTAGACCAGGCCCGCCCACTTGCTGGCCACCTGCATGGTCCATTTGCTCCTTGGACGTCCAGGCCCAGCTGGCTCCTGGCCAAGCTCAAGGCAAGCCCTGGGTGCATGCTGTCAGGACCTGGTCAGGGCTGCCCTGGCCCAGGCTTGGGGTCCCCCTGGAACCCCTAGTGCCATGGTCCACCCATCCTCTGTGTTGTCTTCCAAAACACCAGCCTGCAGGCCCCTCAGCCTTGGTGTTCTCACGTTAGGCCAGCAGGAAGACTAAGAAGAAGGAAGGGGGGGGCCTACGGGCCCAGAGGGCATCATCCAACGTCTTCTCCAACTTTGAGCAGACCCAGATCCAGGAGTTCAAGGAGGTGAGGCTTTGCTTTTGTCCCAGGACCACTCCACACAGTAACTCCTGCCCAAGGGGTCCCCTGTGAATCGTAATGCAGTTGACCGAAAGACCCTACGTGAGCCTCACTCTGGAGCCAGTGAGAGTAGATGCCTATCCTAACATGGTGCGACTGGCCTGCGTTTCAGGCATTCACACTAATGGATCAGAACCGAGATGGCTTTATCGACAAGGAAGACCTAAAGGACACCTACGCCTCACTGGGTAGGTGCCATGGGACAGAACTCCACCACAGCCCGCCTCGGGGTGTCCTTCAGTCCTGGAGAGACTTGCTCTGCACCTGGGCCTTACAGCCTGACCTGACACCCATTTCCCATGGGCTGCAAGGTGGCAGGCTGGGCCTCCCCTAGGGAAGAGATCCCTCTGGCTCGATCAGGGCATCCCAGGGTGGGGTGGGTGGCACAGCTGAAGCACGGGCACTCTGGATGGGAGGCTGGGACCAAAGCTCCAGGGAAGCACTAAGACCCCAGAGGGACACCACTACATGGAGAGGCTTGTCCTCCTTCCCCCAAGCCTAGCAAGGAAGCCCAGAAACAGACTTGGGAGAAGATGTGGAGGGCAGCTCGTGGTCCTCTGAAGAGCCAAAGGCTGGCCCTTTCTTCTTCAACTTCCCATCTGGGGGCACGTTCTCAGCCTGAGGCAATCCCAGGGGGGGAGAACGGGTAGGTTTCTTTCCTCTGGGCCCCCTTACACTCAGGTAAGCAGATCACAGGTCTTCCTGGGCTACATGCATGACCTCTTCCTCCTCCCCAGCTGCCCATCTCCCCAGGGATCAGGGTTTGGGTTCTGCTAACATGCAGACCTGGGCCCCCACACCTGGGCCATGTGAAACCCCCCGCCCCCACTGGCTCACCTCCCTCCTTCTGGCCTTCCCAGTTTGAATGATAGTGGTGGGAGACCAATGGGGACAGCGGATGCATCAACAGCAGGACAGCCGGGGGGTGTGACATTCCTGCCTGGTCTTGTGTTGGTGATAGGCAAAACCAACATCAAGGATGACGAGCTGGATGCCATGCTCAAGGAGGCCTCGGGGCCCATCAACTTCACCATGTTCCTGAATATGTTTGGGGCAAAGCTGACAGGTGAGAGCCAAGGGTCCAGGCTCCTCCCTGGCCAAAGGCAGCCCTCAGGCCAGTCTGCAAGACACTGTGTGTTTTGTTAGCTCCTAACGCTTAGAAATTCAGATATTTCACATAAAAATCCTAATTTTCAGATTTGTTGAAAAACCCTAGGACTTGACATGCTGGTACCCACATTCGTGGGTCACACATGTGACCAGCGGGCATGTGAGCTCATCCTTCCTCCTGTCTGCCTAGTGGTGATAACCTGTCTTTCACTCACTGAGCATTCTCTCCACCTTTGGGCCTAGGCGGGATTCTGGGGACCCCCAGGCCCCTCAGAGCGGGAGCTGCAGGGTCTCCGTAGTGCTCAAGTGCTGGAGGGACATACAGGCCAAGCCCTGGGATGGCCCAGAACAGGACTGGAGCCCTAAACAGTTGAAGGCCTTTTGTGGGCAGGTACGGATGCTGAGGAGACCATCTTAAATGCCTTCAAGATGCTGGATCCTGATGGCAAAGGCAGCATCAACAAGGACTAGTGAGTGTGGCTATGGGCACCTAGGCATCACCCCTGAGGGCTGCCAAGCCCACCTCCCCTCACCCCACCTCAGTCCCCAGGCCTTGGGCTGCCTATCCTCAAGATCCTGAGTCCCTAACTGATGGCAAAACCAGTCTTGCCCAGCCAGTGGCCTGGGAGGTCATCACCACTTGGACCATCACTGGGTCTTTAAGCCCTTTGGGGGGAGTGGGCCTATGTGGTATACCAGGCACTTGCCCCTAACCCCCCAGTCTCCTCCCTGCAGATGGAGCCCCCCCGCCCAGGGGTGGTGACCCCAGAGCGTGCGAGTCAGTAAAGACCCTGACAACCACTCTCTGGTGCCCAGGACTCACCCTTTAGTCAGGCTTCTGAGAGGCACCTGTGCTGTGAGTGGGTGGGATTGTAGGGTGACCAGACCCCCACCTTGGGGTATCCCATGGTGGAAGAGCCAACAGTGTGAATCGACCCAAGTCATGGGGCTCCCCTGGGGCCACCCCTCCAGTTCTTCCAGTGCCAATCCCTTTCTTCAGTGCAGCCTAATTTGGCTCCTCCCTCCTTTTCCTCAGCATCAAGCGGCTGTTGATGTCCCAGGCAGACAAGATGACCGCTGAAGAGGTTTGGCCCACTCTGCCCTCACCCCACTTCCTTACCCCATGTGCCTCTGGGAAGCTCAAGAATAGGGGGTTTAGCTAGGGGGACTCACCCTGGGCCCCCCTGAGGCTGCAGCATCAGGGTGGGCAGGATACCCCAACCCCACCCCTGGCTCTGCCATGTGCCCCCCCAACCTCCCTTTCCCCCACCCCCACAAGCAAAAACAACCCTGGACCCGGCTGGAGTTCAGTGTCTGTAATTCACCAGACCATTTTGTTCCTTCCCCTCCCCCCTGGGCCTGACTCCCCCAACCGGACCGGCTTGCAGGTGGACCAGATGTTCCAGTTTGCTACCATCGATGCTGCAGGCAACCTGGACTATAAGGCATTGAGCTATGTGCTCACCCACGGGGAGGAGAAGGAGGAGTGAGGGGCACGTTCCCCCATCCCCACCTGGGCTGCAGCCAGTTCAATAAACATGAACCCATAAACCTGCCTGCCAGTGTCTGAGGGGGAGAGAAGGTGTCCGCCTGGAGGTGGGAGGGTCTGCAGGTGCGGGACTTCTGCCTAGGGCTGGGAGAAGTGTCTGCCTTGTTGGGGAGAGTTTGGGGGAGGACCCATGGGGGGTAGAAGTGTGTGCTTGGAACTGGGAGAGGCTGGAGGGGAAGGGTCTCATAGGGGTGGGAGCATCTGCCTGGAGTGGGAGGTTCTGCCTGTAGGGCCCTCCCTCTGCTTCCCCCTCCCAGAGCAGCCTGACTCCACCTGCTGTCCTCGAACTCACTCCAGGAGTCAGTCACTCTGCAGTCGGCAGAGGTCGAGAAAAAGTATGGGTTGGGATTCCTCAAGGAAGCCGTTTCTCACAACTGTCCACTCCAGCCTCAGTCATGCCAGGGGCCCTCAGGACTCCCAATCCATGAGGCTTCCCCTCAGCCCTTGTTCCTCAAGCCAGGTCCATCCCACATACACTGCTCCTGCGCCAGCCACCCTGGGTCTGGCCTGGCCACTGGGGCACCAGCCTGCCCTGTGGCTGCACCAGCAGTTCTTGCTCTAGCCACAGGGTCTCCCCTAGGCCATCCTGCTGTGGGTGTGCCAAGGACTCCAAATCCCTCTGGCACCTGCTGGATGCTGTCACCCTGGAACAGAGCCCACCCCTCCTGGCCACCCCTTCATGTCCCCAGGACCACTTCTTGATGCACTGATGGCTCTTTTGGCTTCCAGAACTCTGCAGGGACCCCTGTGACCTCTCTGCAGGTCCCGGGGCCTCCAGCAGCTCAGGGCTCCCCCAAACAAGCAGGTAGGGCCAGGAGAATGGCGCTGGGAATGAGTGGCCCCTGCCTGAGCTTCCTACAGTCCATGCTGGAGGTGGTGGGGGCGTGCCCACGTGGAGCCTCAGGGCGTAGCTGCCGGGCGGGGCTCGTGATTCGCAGTTTCTGGGGACGTGTCCTCCTGGATGGAGTGGCTCACGTGGGCCTCAGCCTGTAGGCGCCGGTACGGAGTGTGGAAGAACACCACCAGGAAACAGCTGAAGAGGGCACACAGGCCAGCCATCAGCAGCATGGACACTGGGGAGACATAGCCCAGCTCTATTCTGAGGCTCGCTCAAGCAGCCAGAGTTCCCCATCCCTAACCCAGAGTACCCACAGATCTGGCAGAGCTCCAGCTGACCCCACTAGCCATGAGCAGAGAGGGACCTGGAAACATCTGTCCCCGCTCCCAACAGGCCCTGAGGGCATTCACAGACCCAAGTGTGGTGAGCTCCAAGGTCAGCAGTATGGGGTCTCCAGATGTGGCCACCTCACCCCCATCTCTCTCTGCCTCCCTGTCTCTTTCCCTGGTCTCATTTCAAAATGACTCACATGGGTTTCAGACATTGGGCTTTCATCAGGGTCTCAGGCCTACTCCCAGCACAGTGAGCCTTGGAGGGGAAAGGTCAGCCTCGTTGCCCTCCAACCCCCAGGACCCCTGCCCTGTGGGTGCCCAGTGCATGCAAAGGAGAGTGAAAGATGCCAAGAGAAAGGGGCCCATGGAGGGGAGGTTCCAGCACTGGGAGGGGGGTGAGGAAGGCCCAGGCACCGACCTTGTGCTCTGGGGTCTCTATGCAGGTGGGGGCACTCACCCGTCCAGTCCAATGGGCCCTGGTCATCCTGGCAGGTGGAGACGGACGGCTCCGCACGACGCACGGTCAGGGCAGTCAGCAGGACCATGATGAGCACACCCTCGGCCTGCCTGGACAGACACAAGGCCTTCAGCCCTGCCCTGGGCACTGCTCAGTACTCACAGTGCCACTGGGCTTTCTGAGGCCAGTGTCCTGTTCTGCTCAGCGTGGGGCACGGCAGCTAGCCCAGGACTGCACAGCTCAGAACACGGTGACCTTCGCCTGAGCAGGCTGGTTACCCACTGTGTAGCCAGGGCTGGGGTGAGGGCGAGGACTCTGGGGTCCCCAGGGAAGCGGTGGAGAGACAGACACTCACCCCAGCACGATGACCAGGCCTGCGGCTGCACCCTCACCTACAGGGAAGGAGCACTCGACCACCAGCTCCATGGCGATGGGCGCCACTGAGAAGCCAAACAGCCCCAGCAGTGAGCAGATGGCGGCCAGTGCCAAGGTCTGTCCCTGCAGCTGAGACACCTAGGGGGATGGTAAGCCACATGGAGAGATGGGGCACCAGTCAGAGTGTGCAGCATGGACACCCAGCCCCAGCCCGGCCCTGCACCAGCACCCCCTCTCAACTGAGCAGGGAGCAGGGATGGGCCAGTGGCCAGGGTCGGGGACCACCCCAGTGGGCAGTGTCTAAGCCTGAGAAGGTCTGAATTTCTGCTTTGACCCATCTGTCAGTGGCCCTGTCCCAGAGCATCCCACTTACACCCCTGTAGGGTGGTCTTGGTTCAAAGGGACTCTCACCAGCGCAAAGGCCACGCAGACTATGGAGGTCAGACAGAAGCCAATCTTGACAGCTTCAGTGAACTGTTTGGTCCGGTCCACATACAGGCTGAGAATCAGTGCCCCCAGGACTCCAAACACAATGAAGAGAGCCCCACAAAGGCCTGCAAATTCCTGGAGGAGAGGAGGTCAGGGGTGCCCCATCATTGGGTCACGGTGATACCAGGGCCCCAGGAGAAGGACCCCATCCTTAGGGTGTATGCCATAGCCGAGAAGCCCGCGGCAGGGTGACATGGAAAGCTCAGCTGCATGGTTAGCCATGAGTGAGTGATGGCACATCCCCCCCAGGTGCCTCTTTCCTGTGGCACCCCACGCCAGGAACCCAACAGTTGCTAAAGGAAAAGGCACTGAGGGGTGCCCGTGTGCTGCTCATGAGTTTGGAACATACCAGGCCTGAATCCCACACCCAGGGCTGATGCCAGGCAGCAGAGGGCAAGGCCAGAGATGCTATGAGCAGAGCAAGGCCCTCCCAATCTCCAAATATCAGAAGACGACCCTTCCCTGGAGACCCGCAGGGTTGGGGCCAACGTGGGTGGGGCAGTGGGAAAGATAGTGAAAAGAGCCACACAAAATCCCAGCACATCTCTGGGCACTGCCACCACCCCTCCCCAAGGCCACGACCCCAAGATCAGACTGCCTCTGGCACCCAACACAACATTTCACACACAACCTCTCAATACCACCCATAAGAGGAGGTTACCCTGTTCAGGCATGGAAACCCAGTGTTTGGGGCAGTCTTCAGGGTACTAGCAATGGCCCCCAAGCCCCATCCTTGCACAGGAGAGGGGGCTGGGTGGGGCCAGCACTCACGTTGGAGTAGCCCTTCACACAAAGGACCTGCTCCAGGAGAACCGAGAAGCTGGAGAAGATGCCGACGCCGCCTCCGAAACACACGGCCAGGATGATATAGGCTCTGTTCTGCAAGAGCTGGAGGGGAAGGCGCCGCTCAGCCCGGGAGCGAGTGGGATACTGGGGATACCCCAGCAGGGCCTGTCCTAACCCCCTTCCCTCCTCAGCCTTCTCCCCACACCAGGTCACCCCAGCCCTGGATCCCACAGCACTAACCAGCTTCAACCCATCCAGGAACTTCTCTGAGGTGGAATGGGCAGCCCCTGCAGAGGGTGGGCTGGGAGGCACACTCTCCCAGAGGCAGGCAGTGGCCAGGAGACAGGCGAGGCCGGCAGGGATGATATAGATGCCCAGCTGCGGAGAGGGCATACGTGAGTGTGTGCACGTGTGTGTGTGCACTCACACATGCACATCAGGGCTTCACACCCACTGTTCTGGGCCTCCGTTGCCAGCCATCCCTAGGCAGACAAAGGCAAGCCCCAGGGCCTGCTTTGCCCTGCTTCCTCTAGAACCCAGGCTTTCAAAATATCCCCCACAGATGACTCCCACAGTGACACCCTTAGCCCAACCCTCTCCCTGGGCCCCAGACTCACCCATCCAACTGCTGACTGACCCTTTCTGCCTGTCTTTGTGAATGACCCCAACACATGCCGAGCTGCACTCCCCAAACCTGGCCTGAGCCTGCTCCCACTTCCCAACCCAACCAAAATCCTAGCTCCCTACCTGCACAGTGCAGCCACATCTTTGGCTCCCTGAATCTCTGGACCAGCTCAGCTCTTCCCTTAGACACTCCCAGAGCTTCCATCACTCAATGCCAACCACCTGCCACCTGCACTGACCCTTCCTTCCACCCTTCCCTTGCTCAGCAGACACACTGGCCTCTGGCTGCAGCCCCTACCCCTCAACCTCACATCCACCTCAGGCATGTGGAAAAATCCTGTGGGCACCAAGTGTACTTGCTAATGTGGTCACAGGGAGGGGCAGGGGCACACTCAAACACACATGTATGCATATGCAAGCCCACCACGCAAACACATGCACCACATACATGCACACATACCTATGCACATGTGAGCCCACCATGTACACATATGCACCCCACACACGCACATACACCTATGCACGTGTAAGCCCACCGTGCATACACATGCACCACACACACGTGCCCACACACCTATGCATATGTAAGCTCACCATGCACACACATGCACCATACACAGGCACGCACACCTATGCACATGCGAGCCCACCATGCACACACATGCACTACATACCCACACACACCTATGCACATGCAAGCCCACCATGCACACACATACACCACACACAGGCACACACACCTATGCACATGTGAGCCCACCGTACACACACATGCACCACACACACCCACACACACCTATGTACATGTAAGCCCACCATGCACACACATGCACCACACACATGCACCACACACTTGCACATGTGTATGTATATACGAGCTCACCATGCAAACATGTGCACCATACACATACACACATGTATGTATATATTAGCCCGTCATGCATACACATGCACCACACACGTATGCACATGTGAGCCCACCATGCACACATGCACCACACACAAATGCACACACATGTGTGCATGTACCTCATGAGCTCCC